ATAGATGGGGGAAGCATTATAGACACCGCTAAGCAAGTGGCCGAACTCGCTTGCTCGGCGGGACTGATGGTACGCACCATTTATCGGTAGGGTAAAGAGACTGGTAGAATATCATAGAGGGAAGCACAATAGATCAAACTGGTCGCGGTGCATGGGGAAACCCACCCTCTCTAAATAACTAACTAACTACTCTTAATGTTAGAAACACAACGACAATGGCTGATAGGACACATAAATGCCTAACTTGATAACTTTACTATCCTAATTCAGTTACCGTGTCACTGTCTCAATCGAAACTGGTGTTAACAGTGAATGGACGCCATACATAATGCAAAGACGGGCACGTCACTATGGCTAAAATGACGATACAACGCTATTACTATTCCTAGTAGCTTACTACTTACATCATCAGGCCATGGTCAGAGTATACAGGAAGACCGCACTAGTACAAGAGAAATAGACACACAAAACCCGCAATAGCCGCAAAAGAGTACAGTAGCAGCGTTCTAGTCATGAGATAACAACTAAAAAACGATGTGCATTTGAGTACGATAGACAAGTGAAAAGTGCAGTGTTCTCCGCGAAAAAAAAAAGGCCTGATGATGGCCCATATGCGGCCGAAACATGTTGTAAATTGAGAAGAAATATATGTAAAACTAGAGACATTTTAGGAATTTGATAATCACTTTTAGTGTATAAGTTATACTTTTAGTGTCTTAATGTCATTTTATGAGTTTAATAACATCGTAAATTGTTAAAGTTACGTTTTTAGGGAGAAACATATTTTAGATGTCTTTTATATTTTAAAATTATTGATGCATTACTGACGGCGTGCTTTAATAATAAGGATAATAGTTTAGTGTTACTTCGAGTTACTGCTCACTCTGCCCTGCAATTTTCAGAAAGAGAAAGTAAATTATTGTTACGGGAGAGTTAAATGAAGCAGCAGAGATGGGAAAATGGAATAATGAAAAAGATAGAGATTATTTATGAAAATTGAGGTAAATTTTTTCACGTAGAAAGTAAAAGGAAAAATGAGGAAGAAAATGAGGCCAAGTACGCGGTTCAGAAGTTGGTAGTACCACTCAAAATACACATTCTTTCTGTGATGAATTCACGGATTCTTGTTCTGCTGTGCGCCACTGCACTAACATCTGATCCTGTCATGTCTCGCACAACATACAAACAGTTCGTATTGGAACGCAACCCAATTGACTCTACGGTCATACGGGTTGCATAGCACTCTGCTGACTTTAAATTAATAATAAGCGTTTCACGCGGCGCCTGACCGCTCGGCCAAAGGTTCCCCGGAAAGC